TTTGTTGCTCGACGGTGCACAGCGTTTAGCAGTCAACAAAATCGATGTTGGCCGAAAGGCGGAAAGCGACGCGGGGATCGGGGCACCGAAAGAAGCACGAATTCGCTAGATCAAGAGAATCGAAGAGACGGCAGTCTTTCAAAAAAAAGAATCGCTCAGAAAGGAGCTTTGTGATGGATTAAAATACGTTAAGTCAGGACGACTCGAACACGGCTCTTTTCAACACTCAGCCCCAACAAGTTTTTAGATGTGGTGGTAGGAAAAAAAGCTTAAGATCTGGGTTTGACAAACACAAGTGATTGTCGGGAGAGGGGGAAAGAGACAAAGGACAAAGAAGAATAAAAGCGCCAAAAGGGAAAAGCGAAACAAAAAGAGAAAAAAGGAAAACAAGATCACAGAGATCTTGACACCAACAGAAGAGCGATGGAGGAAAATGCGAGGAGTGAGATGAGATGGAAACAGGGGAAGAAGAAGAGGAAGAGATGTGATGTGATGGTCTTTGGTAGGCTACTAGGTAAGATACTCTACCATGCCCAGACGGGAGGAGTCTCTAACAGCTGGAGCAAAAAGAACGACCAAACAGTGGATGGGCAACTGGCAAAGAGCCGCTTGGGTGGGTGACATGCTAGTCCAGATGAGGTTAGCGTATCAGGATAGATGCCGCTGGTCATGAGAGGGCGCTTAACTTGACTCTATTTGGTCCTTTTGAATGAGCTCGATTTGAGCCGAGATTCTCTCAAGCACAGAAGGCTGACATTGGGGGGGTCTGAAAATTGAAGTTGAAGGTGAGTTCTTTGAATGATACTCTGACAGAAAGAAGTTGTGTCCTTGTATGTATCTTCTGCATCATTTGTTTCGATCAATGCATAGTCTTTGTCAGTTGTTTGTGCTAGACTCAGGGACAAGATACCCAAAAATGAGAGAACCATAGGCATGTTGCCAATATCCAACTAACCTTGTCGCACCCTGCAGATAGTGCCCGTCATTGGACAAAATCTTCAGTCCGTTTTAGCTAAGTTGGAGCGTTTGCCATCATGGAAACATCAAATTATTCGAACCCAGAGTCCCTTGCTGTGTTAACAGCTATGGTCAATCAGACGGTAAAGTGGCCTCTATTCTCGCTGTCTTCGTAGGTCGTTAATACTAACTGCTGACAGCTCGTTGAAATGGGTCGATTTTTTCGAGCTGGTGGCTCAACGCAGGCCAGGGCCCGTTTCAAAAAGACGATCCCGGCGGCTCACGAACGTTTCCAGGCTGCACTCGACGATCTGTCTGAGCAAATAGTATGTGACTAAGTTGATTTTTCCGCGACATTTCGTGCTTCAACAGGACAGCTATTGACAGACGGCAGTTTATCGCAAAAGCGTTTCTCGAAAGAGACTATGAGGAAATTAGAGCAGAGAAAGCAGCTGTACAGCCTGCTCAAGATGTGGCTATGGATGAGCCAAGCAACAGGTCACAAAATGAAGGTGCACAAGAGCTGCCCCAAAAGATAGAGGAAGTGCCAGACACGAAACCACTCGAGTCCCAAATGGACGAAGAGCCTACTACTGCGCAAGAGCCACTCGCCGGCGATAAGCTGTCGCAAGAGACCGAAGGCAAAACTGTCAAGGTGGAAAAGCAGGAAGGACAGTCCTCAGCGCCAGATCAATCAGTCCCTGCAAGTACAGAAATCAACTTCGACTCCATGCTCAATGACACTGGGGGTGGGCCCAATGAATTCGATCTCCATCTTGATTTTGGAGACGATGATATTGGGAATCAGAATTTCCTGTCCGGCACTAGTCTTGGAAACACAGGTATCGGCGGCGATATCGGCCAGGAGACCGATCAGTCGGGCGCTATGGCGTCGATATTCTCTAAAGAGGGGGATAATATCGGCAGTGGTCCTACGGGAGGCGATGCATTCGATTTAGAGTTCCAGAAAGCTGATGGATTTCCAGGCGAGGACCAGCAAGCGGGAGGACAGATGAGCAACCACGCGGATGATGTTATGGCTCCTGGGGAATCAAGCTTCGATGATTTATTCATGGAGAACGAAAACTTCGGTGGAGAAGGGCTTGGAGACCAGAGCATGCTAGGGGACGACCTGATGAATATCAATGAGCTAGATGATAACTGGTTCACTTAATTTGCAGTCGTTGAAAAACGATTGAAAGACGCGTTAAGGAACATATTCTCAATGCATATCTACGGGGCACATATGCTTAGTAGTTTCCAGGATCAATACATTGCGGGTAGCCACCATTTTGCAAGCAGAGAGTGGGGCATTCTTGATTTGATACCAACGGTAGGGAGTTTGACATCCATTGCTCCTTAAAATTATCTTGATGTCAACGAGGATCCATGCAAGGGGACCTGTGTAACAGACTAGCATTCCGCCCTCCGCACTCCACACTCATTCTGTTGCAAATAGACTAAGTAGCATGATAAATAACCATAAAAATGACGTATGATCTACTCATTTCACTCGTTAGCGAACTACAAGCAGCCTTGGTATCATCAGCCCTATCTCGTACCTGGCGAGTCCCGTTGACTCTTGGCGTCTGGGCCTCAAACGTCTATTTTAGGCAGGAAGGACTCGTTTCGTGACCCCATACCTGATACTGCTAAAGTAGTGTCGGACAATCTACAGACTAAGGGCTAGACAAGTCCCACCTCATCGAAGATATGAGTGTGAGATGGGGAGGTCAGCCGCTAGTGATAATAGAAGCAGTATACAACGATTTGCACTTGAATGCCAGATGCAAAGAGTTAGCAGACCAACGGCTTCTCCGCGGAATCCTCCAATTGCGCATTTTTCATTAGCGGAGTATATTCCCACTCTTGTCTGGAAGAGATCTGCAAAAGATCAAATGATGAGGTCATCAGCGGCATCAGGATCCCCACCGGCCTCGGTTGCCGGCTATCCTCATATTGGACTTTTATTCTACGGTACCCCGGAGGTATCGGTTCTTGAGTTGGGCTTATTAGGCACAAATCCTAGAGGCACGAATCTAGGATTTGTTGAAGTCATCAAGGAGCATAGCCCGTGCTAGGACCCGGGAGTAATTAGTAAAATAAGTATTCAACTGGAGGAATATTACCCCAAAGATGGCTAGTCACTCGAGTTTGGCTGTGCTCCGTATCATTGATTCCTGAAGGATCTATTACTCACAATAATATATTAAACATCTGACTAGTGGTGCAAGAACAGCCAAGTATGAGGTCTGGAGGAGTTAAATCGTTCATGTGCGGCGTGCCACAGGTACAGAATAATAATGATATCACTGATTGATTTGATCCCATCGCACTGGCAGAGATCGACAGGTGGGATTCATTTGAAATTATGAGCCCACGCATTTAGGTCAATGATAAGATACTGTTATATTTTGAGTTTTCCTCGCTGATAAGCTGCAGAAGTAATAAGGAGAAGAACAACAATGAAAATCCAATTTAGAGAGAAAAAGAGGCAACAAACATGGAATCTGTACCTCTTAATGCCGGAATACCCGCATATGGACATCACCTCGACGACGTCATCCTTCTAAACCAGGACAAACTAGCGCCGGGGTTTTAGCAGCATCAAAGGCTTAGCATCACCTTCTTGAAGTTTTGAACGCTGAGGCATATCACATGGGAAAAGATGGCTTACTGAAAAAAGCATCATAATCATGTAGCACTTTGCGTATGACCTACGTGACAAAAGCAGGAAGTCTACCTGTGAAGCACTGGCAACTTGAGATATGAGTAGTTAGGAACTTGCCCCGAATTCCGCGCAAATGAAAGCCGATGGAATTTAGGTTACAAATGGCAGGACGCCTGGTGATTGGACTTCATCTGTGTATGATCCGAACTCTTTTGCTTGGATCGTACGTGTACCTACCTATTCCAACTGCCAGTCTACTGGCTCGCCGGATCCATATTGAGCGACCTAGAGTGGTGGCTCGGCGGTATTTCGCGTCATCGCAGAGTTATTTCCCAACCATAGATTCATGATACCTAATATAACACGAGGGTCTATCTTCTGGGCCCGAACCAGAAACTGCCAAACTATTAGGAGGTTCGACTTGTCTGATGACAATAATACCAAGACATTCATCTGTCACCCAAGGAACGAACAAATAAACTGTTCCGCACCGCCTCACTGCCATCGTGTCTATTCCGTCACCTCTGTGTTTAGATTCTTGGGAATTTGCCATCCTGCAACTCTGTTTCGCTGGAGTGATTGCCTTGTACCTACCATAGCATACGCCGCCTCTCTCCCTTCTGGTGTGTCTATGGACCCTTGACAGCGAACTTCCTCTCTTTCAGCAATCCCCGCATCATCGGCCCTTCTGGCCTGCAATCGAATTAGTGGTCTGTGGTGATCGTGATCAGCAGGCTGTGTTTTCCCCTCACTCCACGCCGACTTAACCACAGAATAACCGAGACACTAGAGAGTCGACTGACTACGCTTTGGAGTACTATCACAGACTCTTTCCTACTCAAACCTGAAGTTCAGTCCAGCGATTCTGGGGGAACGCCTCTTTTCCGTTTCGGGCCAAAAAATCAGTGTGGCTCCTTGCGTGGTCGATCATCGGCCGAAGCAGCAAAAGCCCCAAAAGTTTAGAGGCGCAAAGGGAATAAGGAACGAGTGAATAGAAAGGGAAATAGTCTCACGACTCAATTCGGTGGGATTGCGCGTAAGAAACAAAAGCACAGCCATACATTATCATTTTATTCTCCCAAAAAATAAAATAATAGACGGAGGAAAAAGAGGAAAAAAAAAAGAGGAAGAGATCATCCTTAATACTATTACTTGGGAGCTGCAGAACACGGGGTAAGTTTGTTGCTCTTTCTCAAACGCTCTTGTGTCACTCGCTTCACTTTCACTTTTCTTTTTTTTTCCAACCCACTGTCTATCTTCTATCTCCCTCTCTGTTCTCTTGTCCAAAAAGCTCCTGGCTTCCGTATAAGATCACTTCAGTGCCGATTTCATCCGTCCAGTCCATTATGCACTTACCTCGGTATACTTCAACATGACAGCTGCTCACCTCTCTCCCCTACAACAGGACCCATCTAGGTCGGGAAACCCTGAGATTTTCCAACCACTCTCTAGCCTGTTCACTTCCAGATCAGAGCGACGTCGGTCCATTACTTCAACTACAGTCAACACTGATCTCGCGGTCGAGCAATTTCCTAAACAAAGCCAGAATCGTCGCAGTTCTATACTAAGAAAGCTGGCGGGGCCACGGGAGAACGCAAAGCGCTTCCTCCGCTTGGGCGCGCCGCCCATTAACGGCTCATCATCGCCGCCACTTACCAACACTACTTCCGCTACCGCTACCCACCCGATGTCCCGGACGGCGCGGCCACGTCCTGTGTCCGAGATTATAATTTCTCCTCATGACGCGCAAATGTTAGTTTCTGCTGCGACGGCGGGGAGAATGCGATCCGATTCTTCCTCTACGGTGTCTATGACTTTAGGTCCGGCATCGGGGCAAGATGGCTCATCAGCGCCGGACGCAACGGCGTCGTTCCCTCCTCTCCGCCATGAGAAGATTGTCGCAACAGGGAGCGGTATCGCTGTTGGAATTGCGCTAACAGAGCCCGTCTTGTTTCTTCAAGGTTATGATCAGAATGACCCAAGTACCAAGAAATCCGCGATACTGCGCGGGCAGCTGCACTTGAAAATCACCAAGAGCGTCAAGATTAAAAAGATCTCGATATGCTTCCGTGGTCACGCCCAGACCGACTGGCCCGACGGTATGCTTTACTCATAAAGTGTGTTTACTGTTAGAAAGGAGCCCTGCTGACCCTGAATCTCTTTCCTAGGAATTCCGCCGAAGAAGATTCATTTTCATGACAAGAAAGACCTGGTCACTCATGGAGTGATGTACTTTAACCACGGGGATACTGCCCTTATGCAGAACGATTACGGAGCACATTTCTATCAGCACGCTAAACCGGTGACCTCGGTGACAGGCAAAGATGGGTCGACGACGACGACTACCCGGGAACTATTCTCCAAGAGTGGATCGTCCCCGTCCCTCAATCAGTCGACCGCGAAAGAGCTCAAGCGCCTCTCCTTACAAGCCAATCACGCATACTCGCGCAGCTTTGGAAAGAACGAAATGCCGTCCAGCAATCAGTCGCATCCCCAGCGCAACTACAGGATGTTCCCAGTTGGTGACTACCTGTATAACTTCGAATTTCCCATCGATGGCTCTCTTCCAGAGACGATCAAGACCGATCTAGGCTTTGTCAGATACGATTTAGAAGCCATTGTTGAACGTTCAGGCGCATTCCGGCCTAATCTACTGGGCACCTTGGAAGTGCCCGTGATTCGTACCCCGGCCGAGGGCTCGTTGGAGCAGGTTGAGCCCATCGCGATTTCTCGGAACTGGGAGGATCAACTGCACTACGATATTGTCATATCAGGGAAGTCTTTTCCGTTGGGCTCTCAGGTGCCTATCGCCTTCAAATTGACCCCCTTAGCCAAGGTTGAGTGTCACCGGATCAAGGTTTATGTGACAGAAAACATTCAGCATTGGACAGCAGACAAGAGTGTGCACCGGCTGCAGCCAGCGAAGAAAGTGTTACTTTTCGAGAAACGAGCGGATTCCGCCAGTGTGAGCACCTACCCGGGCAGCTCGATGCGTGTCACCGCAGGTGGCGGCATTGATTGGGATCATCGTGCGGCCGCCGCGAGAGGAGAGGAGATAGTGGATCGTAGCCGGACGAATCTGCTAGGAAATCTGGCAAATGATTCAGGCGTCGGCCCCACCGAAATGGAGTTCAATGTTCAACTTCCTAGCTGCCACGAAATGAAGAATCGGGATGAATCGCAAAGACTGCATTTTGACACGACGTACGAGAATATTCAAATCAACCACTGGATCAAGGTAAGATAGCCTAGGTTTAACATTCCCCGGTTGTTGCTGACTGACTTGATATCTAGATTGTGCTGCGTCTCTCCAGAATTGATGAGCGCGACCCAAATAAGCGCAGGCACTTCGAAATCTCCATTGATTCTCCCTTCCACCTTCTCTCCTGCAAGGCCACGCAAGCCAACATCTATCTTCCTGCGTACACCACTCCAAACTCGGATCCAGGTCTGCCTACGCAAGAGTACGAATGCGGATGTCCTGGAGCGGCAATGGTCAACAGAAACAGCTCGAGCAACCAACTATTAATGACTGATCGGGAAGATGCGCCGAATGGCGGCACTGTATCTCGCAGCTTCACCAACGGATCCGGAGGCTTGGCTCGTCCGCCGCAAGCCCATCTCGCGCATGAAGCGAATGAGCGTTTTGCCCGTCCTATGCACCTCCTTCGAGCGCCATCCTTCGCTCCGCCTGCGTTTGAAGACCTTCCACCTCCACCGCCACTAATAACCCCACCCCCAGAGTACAACTCGATCGTGGGCGACAATGACAGAGAGGCTGTCCTGCAGGACTATTTCTCTCGCTTATCTTTTTACGAGGAACGTGACGGAGATGAACGTGGCCGTGGTCGTGTCGACGTACCCCTTACTCCAGGAGGCCGCGTGAACCGCAGCATGGATGTTCCTCGAGAATGGGTACGACTTGGAGAACCGGCTGTCCAATAGCATATGAGATCGAGATTTGAATGAGTGGACAGGATTTACGACGTCATGAAATCTTATTGTGTGACTTACTCGTGATGGAACCAAGCGGGAAGGGTTTGGAGTCGGATCTAAATGGTGGGAATCTGGGTTTTCAATATGTTACGTTTGTTTATGGGGGACTCATACCGATTCAATTTCTTACTCGCCCTTCACTCTTGGCCAAGGTGTAAACAGGCTACATTGGGAGGTATTAGGCGCTTTGATTCGACCTCGGCGGCGTCAACATGATCTCGAGCAAACTCGTTAACTACACATATCATACAAGTATCAGGAATATATTGCATTGTGCCGACCTTCTCTTGGTTTCATCAACGGAGTTTTGGCCTCAAGTGAGACTATTTTGCTTTGCTGTAGATAGTGTTCTCAGTAGCTTTTATGTCCTGTCGACTGGCATTCTATACATACGGAAGCTATCACCATTACTGCACTGCCAATAGCCGAAAGTGAGCCCAACGCAGATTCAATCGCGGAAAGCTCCCTAGCTCAGCGAGACATCGATGATTAAGTTCGCTGTCTAGAGAGATTCTTCCAGGCAGTATTATAGACAGTCCATGCATTTCATACAAGGTAGTAAACCAGATGAGATGGTGCATGTTGCAAGTATCTATGTTTCTCGTCACTACTACTTTTCCTAATTGACCACTAGTAGTCACAGCCTACCGGACATTGCTTCTCGGGTTCCAAATTCAATTAGCTAGTCCGTAGGTGTATGCCAACCGGATAGCGCTCATTGTCTGCACAAGCACTATGGTCCACTTCTGGCATTGGTAGCCCTCGTTCAGACAGACACAGACATAAACTAGTCCATACAGTAGCAGTCTAGGCGTTAAATGGACAAACGCCCTAGATCTTCGAGCGACCATCAAACCCAGTAAGGAATTTCGACCTCTTCATCTCAGGCGGTTGCGCCAGGCAAGGCGCAAGCCGACGCGAAAAGTTCTTGAATTCCTGTGTTGACGCATGCTCCTTCAGGTTCGCTGCGTCGGTGTACCTTGCTCAAAGTTAGCCTCCCCTTGATTCTCAGACGGAATCGCTGGCGAATGCGACGAGACTCACTTCTCCACGATGATCAGCTCATCGGTTCCTTCGGGTCTAATGGCGATGTAGATTTGAGTCTTGGGCTCGTGCGCCTGGATATGCTTCGCGAAGGCCCCGAATGCTTCTACGACCTGGTTTCGATCTCGAGGTTAGAAACCGGTCATTCTTGGTAAAGAGTTAAGGGCACATACCTCGTCGTACTTCCCCGGTTTGGGGACGAGCTTCACGATGTAGTAGATCGCGTCTGAGGACATCTTCGGCTCCTTGGTTTTCAGTCTGGGTATACGCCTGACTACACGCTGTGGTGAAGCGAGGTGAAGGCCGGTTTCGTTATATATACTTGCTCGTCAATGTGAGTTTTGAGACTTTGGAGGACGGACTATTGGGATCTGGAGGTATGGATGCTCAGGTCCACCCAGGCGTCGATTGGCCAATCGCCGAGTCGGCCTCGGGCCGGTCTGGGCGTGGCGAGATTGAGATAAGTAGAAGAGCCGAGGATGTCAATAGACTATCAATTGAATGCTGAAGCAGTAATCCAATGATGAATGATAACATAATCAACTCTCTGTAAGATTCGTATGTGTCGTACGCATGTTATTCGGTCATCATAATCATCCTGCTGACGTGGTTTTACTGATTCTTTGGAGGTTATTCGAGAGGACCATGCTCTGAGTGCAATGTCACGGAGAAGAGAGGTGTCCCTTTCCAGATGTATCTATCAGTGTCGAGTAGAGGACGATACACCTGCGACTGAACAAATTAATCGACACCATATATCAGGTATTATTTACCATGGTGGTTCACGATCATTGGCTGCGTCTAGATTTGGCACGTGATGATATTGGCACCAATGACGTAACGTGATATCCAGACTTCCATTATCTCAGGAGCGATTGTGGTCCACAAGTAAGGTAGCTCTTACCGTTCAAAGTATCTACTTAGCACTCGAACATGAGCGAAGATGTATCATCCCCATCAACAGAACGTCCTATCATGAGGAAGACACTGCTGCTAGTTTTCATACACGGGTTCAAGGTCCGTTCGCTTGTCTCATGTTCCTGTTGTTGCTTGCGTGTTGGCAGGGCTCGCGAAGCTCGATCAGGCCTCATACTAAACATGTCATAGGGCGATGACAACACCTTCGCCAGTTTTCCAGATCGTCTACGTGCTTTAGTTGCTCGTTCACTTCCCGCTGTCAAGGTAGCTACCGTGGTATATCCCAAGTATGAGACTCGTGGTGGTCTGGAAGAATGTGTGGGGAGATTCCGGGAATGGTATGTCGAGACCACGGGCCCTGAGACTATTCATACTTGATTTGAAATCCCGCTGACACATCTCTCCTTGAGTAGGCTCCAGAACAAAGTTATCGACTTGGAAGTAGCCAATCGTACCACATCGCCGACCGTTGACCCTTCCGTCCACGTTTTCCTGGTTGGTCATTCTATGGGTGGCATTGTCGCCGCCGAGACCCTGTTGTTGCTCGCATCGGAACATCCTATTCCTACAAAACCATACTCAGGTGTATCCTCAGACCATGCTTCTGCTGGCTGCGAAGCAAATTCGAAGACTGCCGGAAGTTCACGACTCGGGGAACCGGACACATTCATGTTTCCTCATATTCAGGGCGTGCTTGCATTCGATACGCCTTTTCTGGGAATCGCTCCGGGCGTTGTGTCCTACGGTGCCGAAGGTCATTATAAGAATGCCACCACCGCATATAACGCATTATCGGAAGTAGCTGGTTTGTTCGGTTTCGGAGGAGCCAGCAACGCTTCGAGGGAAGGCTCAAACGCCACACAGCAAACACAGCCCAAGCTTCTACCTTCGTCACCTTCCAGTACTCCAGCCTCGGCTACTGATGCTGCTGCCACGCCATCCTGGCAGCGCTGGGGTCGGTATGCCATGTTTGCAGGGGCTGCAGGTGCCGTGGCTGCAGGCGGCGCCGCCGCAATGTATACACAACGGCAACGACTGACGGAGGGTTGGGACTGGGTTTCTTCGCATCTTATCTTTGTTGGGTGCTTAGCGCGCCCCTCGGAATTACGACAGCGCCTGGCGCTCTTGTCCAAAGTGTACAACGAGCGAGGGATACGTTGCACGAATTTCTATACGTGCTTGGGTAAAGGCGCCCCATCATTGGTCGAGAGTAATACAAATCAAGGCAAGACTTCGTTTAGTCAACGGATCATACGCTCCAAGCACCGCACATTCTGCACCTTGCCGGCTGAGGTCGAGACAGGTCAAGGCACGCCGGAATTTCCCGAATCGGGATTTTCATGGGTCAGGGCGAGCAATGATAGGGCAACGGATGAAGTGAGTGCCCATATCAGCATGTTTTTGCCAAACCAGAATCCGGCATATTTGGGGCTTGTTGCCGATGCATGCAGATCCGTGGTGGACTCGATTGATAAGGGTTGGTACTCCAGTGCCACAGGACCTATCGAAGAAGTTGATGATACACCGGCCCAGGCTGGCAAGAGTAATACTCCACCGAACACTGAGGGTGAATTCATGGACGCTGACGACGTCGTGGTCGTGAATTGAGAGTTGTGGAAGAAACGTCCAAGTCTGGGAAAAGTGATATGGTCATTTCTTATCCGTCATTTGCCAACACTTGAGCGTTGGACCTCGTGTACCTGCCTTGGTCCGACAGACTGCACTCGATCATTGGACATTCCTTTTGACACGTTGTCTGTTCGTCTCCCGCAGCTTCCGAAAGTCCGAGGTTGCATTGATGTCTCTAGGATCACCGCCCACGTTGCACGCCGAGGCCTGCTTAGAAATGACCGGTCGTGTTGTACCGGGCTTGGAGATGTAGCATCTCCTCATCACGTTGCCACCGACGAAAGTTTGAGAGCATCTTGGAACACGGCAATTGTATGATCAACAGGCAATGAGCAACCATTCTCCTCCACCAAGCGTTAAGTGTGCCGCCGCTGGCGCATGGGGCTGCAGCCTAGGTGATACCAATAGACGTAAAAATGGATCAGACCAATATTCTATTTGCCGTTCCCGCAGAAAGCGGCTCCTGATCCCTGCATGTGAAAAATGACAGTGAGATATGATCATTTTCCGGAGCTTTGGATTCACGGAGTCAGATTTGAGCTACGCTCAGTTGAGGAATTGTGACGATGTGTGTAACCGTGCATACTTTTGGACCTGCCCTATTCTTCCTAGCTGGAGGCATTTTTCGTCTATCCGCCCTAGAGTACGGGGTACTACAATGGAAATGACACGGTTTAGGAACCCTCCGAGTATGGTCCGTATGCTTTCGACGAAGGATTTATCTGCAGTGTTAGTCACAGATTTAGCTTTCCATTAAATGGTGGCGCCTGTCTGTTGAAATGACCAAGCTCAGTGCACGCTCTAATTGGCGTCGATTAAATGACACAAGAGAGCAAAGAACGGTATATTCCGTTCAATAGTAGTCTCGGATAACCGGGAAACCAGCATAGCATATCATGGATTGGGTGGAGCATACATCAGGGTATTACTGTAACATGGTAAATGACAAAGGATCGGTGCAGCTTTACTAGATTGAAAGACGACAACAAGGTTCTCGTGCTCTCCCCCCTCCCCGAAAAATACAGCGCAGCGCTAAAAGCAAAACATCCCTGCAAGTTTGGACGAATGCTGCTGACATATATGGAGTATGGAAATGATAAAACATAATGCCCACAAGTATAATGCTTAATGTGATGGACTGATGCACGTAATATCCACTGGCGAGTCCCGATGCATGAGACCCGGCTGATCGAAATATGACTCAGAATAGAAATCAAAATGCCCAAGATGTGATTATAATATCGTATACAACCAAGAAAAAAGAGACGATTAAGAACCGGGTCAATAATTATGACCGCCATAAGTGGAAGCCCGGTGATGATACATGCTCCCGGCATACTCCGAGTGAGAGTCTTGAT